CCTCTTTGCCCCCTCATGCCCTTTTCTTCATTTCTGGAACAACTCTCCATCTGACAGGCTCTTCCCTCTTCCTTCATCTGACTGAAACCTTGCCCCAGGCCGCTGCTGTTGCAGAGTCAGCTGATGTCCCACCACCTCATGCTCCTTCCCGGGCTGTGGTAGCCCACACGGACATCTTCTTTCTTCACCCCTGTTAAATTATGTGCATGTCTTATCTCACAGAGTCAAAGTGGAAAGGGAACTGTTTTAATAAGGAAAAAAAAAAATCCTGCTGTGTGTTACATAAATTGTTAATTTATATGGTACATTATGCCTCTGTAAATGTTAGCCAGTTGATTTACTAACAAAGTAGAAATCCAAATTTTCCCTTTGCTGAAATTTGATATTTAACATTCCCTTATTGGAACGTTCATTTGGAGACTGGGAAGTGTTTTAAAGACTGGAGGTGTTTTAAAGTCAGTGCTTATGTAATCAGCAGGCCAGCGAAGGGCAACTAAATTTAGTGTCTGTTTTAGGAGGGACTGTTTGTCGAAGAACGTTAACTGATGAGAAGTTTGAGATTGCTCAGTGAGGCTGTGACTTGTCTGGAGCTGTACTATAGGTTGGTGACAGATCCACCACTAAACCCACGTGTTCCTGCATATATTCAGGGGGCCACGGTGATGTCTGGACTGGTGACTTTTCTCATTAGAAAAGTCTATGGGGCTCAGAGTCCATTCTTTTGTCTTGTTTTCTAATCGTAACTCGAGTGATTTTTTTCCTCCCCCGGTTAGTATACCCTATCCAGTTATTCCTTAAGAATTGGCCTCTCTTTAGAAATACTCATAAACTTGGCTCAGGCTCCAGAAACCACCCCTCTAGGAAGCCTTCCATGATGCCCCATCTTTAGTTAGGGACCCTTCTTCGTGCTCCACTCACACGTGCTATGTGCAGTTACTGCACTGTTGCACACAGTAGATGCTCAACAAACGTTTGAATTACACTGATATACAGTATTTCCTCCAAGAGCTTTTAGAAAGAGTTAAAGTGTTCATAAAAATGTGCCTCAACCACATAGGCAGATGACATCATCCAAAAATACTTTAAAATAGAGTTAGCGTGTCTTGCCAACTATTTTTGCTTTGAAGGTTCCCTTCTATTTTTTTTTTTTTTAGTGCTACTCTATCTAAATTGGCATTTGGAAAGTCCTTGCCTCTTCATGAGACATCATCTCTACAAAGAGATGTAAAAGGAAGATATTCTTGCCAGAACTTAAAATATGGATGAAGGACAAAAACATTCCAACTTAATAATATCACATATTTTGTAGTAACTGTTTCCCCCCTACAGCCTAAGCAGGCATTCAGGTTGAATGTTTCAACTTTATCTTCCTTTGTTTGACATGTACTTACCAGAGCAGCCACTTCCTTTCACTCTTTTCGGGTATAAGATGTGACTGAAATAACGAAACACTCTGACTTCCCTGGTGGCGCAGTGGTTAAGAATCCATCTGCCAATGAAGGGGACATGGGTTCAAGCCCTGGTCCAGGAAGATCCCACGTGCCATGGAGCAACTAAGCCCGTGTGCCACGACTACTGAGCCTGCACTCTAGAGCCCGTGAGCCACAACTACTGAGCCCGCTGTCACAGCCGCTGAAGCCTGCGCTCTAGAGCCTGTGCTCCCTAACAAGAGAAGCTACCGCACTAAGAATCCCGTGCACTGCAACGAAGAGTAGACCCCGCTCGGTGCAGCTAGAGAAAGCCCATGCGCAGCAATGAAGACCCAACACAGCCAAAAATAAATAAATAAATAAATTTAAAAAATAAAACATTCAAGATAAAAAACTTTGTATGTATCAGGTTAGACTAAGTTATACTGCAGTAAAAAACAAAACGAAAAAAAAATAAAAACCCACCACCTAAATCTCAGTGGTTAGCATAACCGAAGCTTACTTTTGGCTCATGGAAAGAGCACTGAGACTCCAGGGCAGCTGATCTCCATGTGGTGGTCCAGCATCTTGGGGAACCCCCGTCTTGACATGTGCTTCTGCCATTGCTGTGACAGGGATGGGAGCCTGGTAATTGCACACTGGCTCTTCAGCGTTTCTGGCTGGAAGAGACACATAGGCGTAACCAACCTAGAGCAAGAAAATATCATCCTCTCTGATGGGGTGGAGGACTAGAAATATTGGTGGACACTAACAATGTCTACCAAGTCCATTTTTTTGCTCCGAAATAGGGGCAATAAGGGTATCATATTGTGATCTCTTTCAGCTGTTAGGATTTACTTACAGTCTCAGCAGGAACATAAAACTGAAGGAAATTGAATAGTCCAGCAAACCCTTGTAGGACTGAAAATATGGGGGCAAGGGCTGCCACATTAAACAGAAGACATTGCCTTTCTGATGTCTTCGTTCGAAGACTGTAACTGGTGTAGTAGTTCCTTAAGAAATTTTTAAAACCTGTGGAATCTGAAACAGACTGAACAAAAGATAGTTCCCTAGGGCTTATTGCTCTTCTCAGAGCTGAGAACCTGTTCGTCTTATAAAAGGACATCAGCCTTTGGAGAACATCATTGTTGGAAAAGTGAGCCCTTCCATGAGGTTACCTTGATTCCTCTTGGAGGTCAGCTTCCATATTTGTGTGTGGTAGAGGGAGAGGGGCCGATTCCCACAACCAGTGACAGTGATGTGTTGCAGGTCCCCACAACCACTCTCAGGTGACAGTTGGATTTTATCTATAGATCTGTATCTGGCTGCCTGAATTTTTAAGACTCTGGAGGATAAAGGTATGAGGGGATGCTGCCATCACCATCACCAGCCCTAAAACACATTGCTAATTTCAGTACTCAGGATGGCTGGCCTAATCCAGGAGTACTGTCCCAGGGACAAGAAAGCTATTCTTTCCATCTGTCATTTGCTTGCTTTCTTCCTCCTTTGCCTTAAAATACACTTTAAAATTTGGGAGTTATGCAGAAAGGCCATGTAATATTTTACCTGAAGAATCCTATTATCTCAGGGTGCCATAAAAAGTCATATACTAAATCAACTATACTCCAATAAAAATTGTTTAAAAAGTCATATACTTTCAGTACAGCTTTAAGGTATTTATACAGGACCCTAAATAAATCATATACACTCTTTTCAAGTAATTAAAATCCTGTTATCCTAGTAGAACATTTCCCTGACCCTACCCAGATAATAACTTTTAATTGCTCAAAAATGTTCAGCAAAGACAGTCTAGAACAACAAAAATTTTTTTTAACATCCTTATTGTAGTATAATTGCTTTACAATGGTGTGTTAGTTTCTGCTTTATAACAAAGTGAATCAGTTATACATATACATATGTCCCCATATCTCTTCCCTCTTGCGTCTCCCTCCCTCCCACCCTTCCTATCCCACCCCTCTAGGTGGTCACAAAGCACCGAGCTGATCTCCCTGTGCTATGCGGCTGCTTCCCACTAGCTATCTATTTTACGTAGAACAAAAATTTTAAACAGCGTTTCATGAAAGCTTCAACAAATGAACCTAACTATATTATCAATGAGTAACCACACTGAAGAGAATGAGAGAGAAAAGAACTAACCTAAGTAACCTTGGAAAACAGGCTCTTCCCAGAATACCCTTAGCCTGAGGACAAAAACAAGTGTGCACAAATGCTGTAATTTGATTAGTTAATGTGTTCCTCACAGGGCTATGGGTTAGCCATTCTGAAAGTACTTTATGTACGTAGTAGAACTGAACAAACAAGCAAATATATTGTGGATAATGAGAGCAAAGTTTCTCACTGTGTGAGAATGAAGTTATATAAGTGAGAAAGGTCTAAAATGTGCCATATGGTATTGACTTGGATCAGAGGTATCCGTTAAAAATCATGGTTTTTAATGTGTGTACAGACAGAAATACAGATGCATGGGTGAGAGCACATACATATATTTCCCACCTCTGTCTGCTTGAAGGACCTGGCAGCAGTGAGCACATATAGCATCTAAGTTCTTGCTTTTTAAACACCATTATCCAATAAAAGGAATCAGGACTCCTTGGAAAAGTAATTATATCAAGGGCTGGGGCAGGGGGAATACAAAATGAGCCTAGAGCATCTTGTAAAGCCAGAACAATAAGAAAGTGTTCCCAAAATGATAGGGCTTGTCAAAAGAATATAGGAGCAGCCTGAATGGACAAAGCTGGAGCAATTTTAGCAACAAAATAAATAATGATAAAATCCAAATAATTGGATTTTAACCTGTAGAGTAAAATAAATATCCATGAGTCCACACTGATATAAATAAATTAATTACCTAAATAAATGGAGAAGAAGAGATAATACTTTCTTACAGAAGAATTGCAGTTAATGAACATAGAAGGAAAAAGGGAAAATTGAAAAATACCATTAAGCAAACCCCACGGTAATAATTATGATAAACAAGAACCATAGATAGATGCAGATATTGTTAGGCAAAATCTGAGAAGCAGGATGCTTCCGTAGTCTCAGAGTATCTCTCCCAACATAGTTATTAGTTAAAAATAATTAATAATAATTTTATAGTGGAGAAACCTGCAGACATCACCTTAACCAAGGGATCAAGGTTAACATCACCAGTGATAAGACATGGACATCATGAACCTCTTGATATTATGCGAGAAGGATACAACAGCATTTCACTGTCCTTAAGGATAAGGAAAAACTGAGGAACATCAGATTAGTGGAGATTAAGGAGAAGGAACAAGTAATTGCAATGTGAGAAACTGGATAGGCTCTTAGAACAGAAAAAAGACATCAGTAGAAAAACAGGTGAAATTAGAATAAGGTCTTCAGTTTAGTAATCTCTAGGTCTGATCTTTGTACCATGGTTACGTAAGATGTTAACATTAGGGGAAGTTGGGTAAGAAATACATGCTAAAATTAGTTCAAAATAAAAATATAAATAAAATGCAACAGAACATATAAGGTACACCAAAAAAACAGGGATTCCAATAAAAGTAAACTATTCTTTGGTTCTTCCTATTACAATTTCCACAGCGGAGCGACTTTCAAGCAGCTGGCTGGATGTTCGTCACATTGAAAGATATGTAGACCAGGGTAAAAGTGGAACAAGAGAATTACTTTGGTCCTGGGCACAGAAAAACAAGACTATTGGTGACCTTTTACAGATTCTCCAGGAGATGGGGCATCATCGAGCTATCCATTTAATTGCAACTTATGGTAAGCATTGATTCTAACGATATGGCTCTTACTCAATTTTATATGAATTGTAACTTGTAAATATTGTATTTTATCTAAGACATTGACTGGTCATGCTGTATGTCAGTGATTCCTCACCTGTGACTTTTATCTGAAGCGGGGTTTGCAGCTTCACATTTTTGTGTCTGACACTTTTTCTTATTGCCTAACTTATACAACACATTCCCTTCTACCACTTTATAGTTTGGTTTTTAAAAAATATTTATTTACAAGCTACACTTCTTAAAATGTTTCATTCTCACTTAGTTAAGAGAATCAGCTCTCTGTCCAAAACTCTGATCTCTGAGTCATAAACATGACCAGAACCACAATATGAGTAAAATACAAATAATGCTATAATTTGTTTTACCATATGATTAGAAGTTAAAAATAATTGGGTTCCCCCCTGTATTTTAGTGCAGATGATACCTCCAAAATAACCCTGGGATTTCTCTATTGTCTTCACTGCTGTTTTTATGCCATGGCTTTCTAACTTCTAACCTGTTTACTGTCCGTTTCACAGTGGCTTGATTCTTCCCTCTCTTTGTCTTCTCTTTCTGATGCTGTGTTATGCATCACATTTATAGTAACCTGATAAATAAAGCTCATGAAGTTTTCTCTGTTCATTCTTTGTCAATAAAATAATCTCCCAATGTCACCTGTTCTGTTTATTCCACTTTAGATTCATTGACTTCAACAAGAATGATCTTGAGTGATCTTGGGTCTTATGTTATAGATTCAGGGCTCTTAGGTTGGAAACTCCTTTAAATCAGCAGGCTTATTCTTTGGCTTTTTCATCCAGGCATATTTTTAGTTCTGTGTATTTGCACACATGCTCTTTGATAATGTATTTTGTCCACTCAAGCCACTGCCTCATCACCTAAAGAAGCTTTGCACACACAAGAAGAAATCCCAAGAGGTTTGTACCAGAAAACTGTAGCTTCAGAATGACTTTTATTTTATAGGTTTTTCACATTAATAAGGTATTAGACAGTTCCCAATAGGCTTCCACCATGATATTATCTGTATAACTTGGCTAATCCCTTTTTTCTGTTGCACACTATTTCTTCACTTAGGGTTTTTTTTTTCCTTAATGTTTGTTTATTTATTTATTTTGGCCACTCCAGGTCTTAGTTGCAGCACGTGAGTTCTTCACTGCAGCATGTGGCTCTTTAGTTGTGGCATGTGGACTTCTTAGTTGCAGCATTCGGACTCTTAGTTGTGGCATGCGAACTCTTACTTGCGGCATGTGAGCTCATAGTTGCAGCATGTATGCAGGATCTAGTTCCCCAACCAGGGATCGAACCCTGGCCCCCTGCATTGGGAGTGCAGAGTCTTACCCACTGGACCACCAGGGAAGTCCCTTCACTTAGTTTTATACAGCAGAATGCTTCACTCTGAAGCTGACTGATCAGGTAAAATGCAGTGAGTCTGGGAGCTGTAAATATAATGCCTTTTCATTATCTGAACCTTTTCCAGCCACTGAAACCACCCATGTGACTTGTTGTTCACAGTATAAACTCACACCAATTTGATAGGACACGGGTATATTTTATACTTCAGTGTTCTGGAACAGATTTCAGGGTGTCTTTTCACACTCTTTGTTGTTTATTTGTGCAGCGGGGAATTATATGGACAAAAATTCCACATCCTTGGTTGACTCCTAGTCTGTTGCACATGGAAAATTAATTTATTTTTTACAATGTGGGATTAGTTGATTTGTGGAAAGGCAATTAATTACTGCCCTAATACCAGGAGATAGATACATCTGAGATGAAAAGGAGGTTAGTGCTTTGTTCTGAATCCTTTGCTGAGGAAAATAGCATTATTTATTTGCAGTTTATTGAATTAGTGCTTTGAATTATGATCTTAAAAACATTGTATAGCTTGTTGAAAGCAGCCACATGATGATTCATTGGAAACATTAAAATGTAACCTGCTGCACAGGTGTTTCCTATGACAGCAGCTCAGTGATGTCAGGAGTTGGAGCTCCTAATTGAAATGCATGAAGATTTAGTCTTTCTTTGTTGCTACCATGAACAGAGTTATCACAACTAAATAATCTGTTTTCGCCTAGCTTTCCTTAAAATTGTTCCATTTGGTGGGATGGTTTCACCTTAATCACCTTAGTCAAGCCATTTTGAATCTCCTGTTTTATATGACAGTGAATTATTGTCTCTTTTTATGTGCAGCAAAAGGACAATGGCTTTTAGTGCCTTTGCAGCCCCCAAACTTCAAATTTTGTTCTACACAACAGTACCTTATTCAGGATGTTCGCTATTTCTTGCCTAATTGCCCTTGCTGGAACCTCTAGTGTAATGTTGAATAGAAGTGCCAAGACCAACACATTCTTGTTCCCGATCTAAGGAGAAAACATTCAGTCTTTCACCATTATGTATGATGTTCACTGTAAGTTTTTCAGAGATGCCCTTTACCAAATTAAGGAAATTTTTTTCTCTCCCTAGAGCTTCATCATGATAGATTATTGGATTTTATGAGTTTGTTCATTTTATTAATGTGGTATATTTTCAGATATTAAGCTAACCTTGGATTCCTGGGGTGAATCCCACTTGGTCATGGTACCTCATCTTTGTTATATGTTTCTGGATTGAGTATTTTGGTGAGGATTTTTGCATCTATATTCATAAAGGATATAGGTCTGTAGTTTTCTTGTGCTATTTTGTGTGGCATTGATATTAGGACAATATTGGCCTCAAAGAAAGATTTGGGAGTTGTTTCCTCCTCTTCTGTTTTGGAAGAATGTGTGAAGAACTGGTCTTAAATCTTCTTTAAATGTTTGGTAAAATTTACCTGTGAAGCCACTTGGGCCTGGGCTTTTCTTTATGGGAAGTCTTAAAATATTAATTAAATCTCTTCCCTTGTTACAGACCCATTCAGGTTGTTTATTTCTTCTTGAATTAGTTTTGGTAGTTTGTGTCTTTCTAGGAATCTGTCCATGTCATTTATCTAGTTTTTTGACAAATAGTTTTTCACAGTATTCCCTTATAATTCTTTTTATTTCTGTAAGGTCAGTAGTTATATCTTTTGTTCTTAATTTTAGTAATTTTGAGTCTTCTTTCTTTCTTGGTCAGTCTAACTAAAAGATTGTCAACTTTGTTTATATTTTCAAAGAACCAGCTTCAGTTTCCTAGATATTTCTCTTCTGTTTTTCTATTCTGTTCTTCTGTTTCATTTATTTCCACTCCAGTCTTAATTCTTCCTTCCTTCTGCTTCCTGTGGTTTAGTTGTTTCTTCTTTTTTAGTTCCTCAAGGCAAAAGTTTAGGCTATTTATTTGATATTTTTCTTCTTTTTAAAGGTGGGCATTAACAGCAATAAATTTCCCTTTAAGTGCTGCTTTTGCTGCATGCCATGTTTTGGCATGTTGTGTTTTTGTTTTCATCCATCACAAAGTATTTTCTAATTTCCCTTGTGATTTCTTCTTTGACTCATTGGTTATTTATAAGTTTGGTGTTTAATTTTCATGTATTTGTCAATTTCCAAAAAAAAAATTTCCTTTTGTTATTGATTTCTACTTTATTTTTTTTCGCATTTTTTTAAAAATGTATTTTTATTTATTTCTGGCTACATTGGGTCTTCATTGCTGCACGTGGGCTTTCTGTAGTTGCAGTGAGTGGGGGCTACTCTTCATTGTGGTGCGCAGGCTTCTCACTGCAGTGGCTTCTCTTGTTGCAGAGCTGGGGCTCTAGGTGTGCAGGCTCAGTAGTTGCGGCACGTGGGCTCAATGGTTGTGGCTTGCGGGCTCTAGAGCACAGGCTCAGTAGTTGTGGCACACGGGCTTAGCTGCTCCATGGCATGTGGGATCCTCCCAGACCAGGGCTTGAACCCGTGTCACCTGCATTGGCAGGCAGATTCTTAACCACTGTGCCACCAGGGAAGCCCTTGATTTCTACTCTAATTCCATGTAGTCAGAGAATATACTTTGTATGATTTCATCCTTCCAAATTTATTGAGGCTTATTTTATTGCCTAACATGTGATCTGTTCTGGAGAATGTTCAACATACACTTGGAAAGTATGAGTATATTCTACTGTTTTGGATGGAATGTTCTATAGATGTCTGTTCGGTCTAATTGATTTATAGTTTTGTTCAAGGAAGCTTATTATTAATTGATTGTATTTTGTTGCTAGTCTTCTAAGCAAAATAATCTAGGAAACATTAGAATACAGTCTAAGACAAACTAGAAGATGAAATAAAACTCTTCTGAAGTCTGAATCAAAATGTCAGAAGTAACAACAAAATATTGCAGAGTTTTAATTTTTTGTAGGAAGCTACATAGACTTCCTTAGTTCAGACAGAAGTAATAGTCTTCAGTTGGGCAGCGTTTGTGGGCATTTGTGATTGATTGCACACGCACGCGCACACACACACACACACACACACACACACACACTCTCTCTCTCTCTCTCTCTCTATCTCTCTCTCTCTCTCTCTCACACTCACTCACCCCTTAATACCTTATCGCACAAGTTGGGATAAAAAGTGAACTAACCAAGAGAGGTATAATCCCATAATCGTAAAAATTTTAAATACATGTACAAAAAACTGGTAACAACATTGCTTTTTTCCTGTCAATTCTCTCCTTCATACTTTAATATTTTTAATGATGTCTAACAATAATTTAAGATAGGTACTCATGGACTTCCCTGGCGGTCCAGTGGTTAGGACTCTGAGCTTCCACTGCAGGGGGCACGGGTTTGATCCCTGGTCAGGCAACTAAGATCCCACGTGCCGCGCCTCACAGCCAAAAATTAAAAAAACAAAAATACAAACAAACAAGAAAAAAAGATAGGTGCTCATGTTTTAAGTGAACAAAGGTATGTTTGTATATTTGATCATTAGAAAGCTCTTTCACATATGGAAATTTGTAACCATTCAATGGGAATGAAACTGAGCTTTAGAAATGAACCTTACTAGCAAGGTATTTATTTTCACAGTGTAAAAAAGAAAAAAAAAGTTTGTTAAGAACATAACATTTTTTGTATCTATATTCCCTTATTTCTCTTTCAGGGGCAGCCTTGAATCCTTCAGAGCAGAGTCATCAGGGAAAAGGATTTCCGATCATGTTATCCAAGGTAGAGTGTGTGTGCATGGGGAATGACCCTTGAACCCTGTTGCATATATATTGAGCGTAAGGAATGAAGTTAGTTATCAGGCAGAAAAATGCTGTATTTGCAGGTATTTTTTTAAATTCGGGTGAGCTTTAGCTCTCATTCTTGTTCATTTATTTGGGGATTCAGGAAATTGGAGATTTGTAAATGTTTGGAGTTAAGAGCTTTGTCCTCTCAGTGATCTGTCAGAGATGAGTCTTAGAACTTTTAAGAATACTGTAAGTTACGCATTTGTCTTAAGTCAGCTTTTAGTTTTCCTGTTCTAGTGTTTTGCATGTTACTGTTAGTTTTTTTTTTTTTTTTTGCGGTACGTGGGCCTCTCACTGCTGTGGCCTCTCCCGCTGCGAAGCACAGGCTCCGGACGCGCAGGCCCAGCGGCCATGGCTCACGGGCCCAGCCGCTCCGTGGCATGTGGGATCTTTCCGGACCGGGGCACGAACCCGCGTCCCCTGCATCGGCAGGCGGACTCCCAACCACTGCACCACCAGGGAATCCCTGTTAGTTTTTATTAAAGCAAATTAGCGGTGATCATTTTTACAGCAATAGAAGTCATTTAAAATTGACTATAGGGCGGGCTTCCCTGGTGGCGCAGTGGTTGGGAGTCCGCCTGCCGATGCAGGGGACGCGGGTTCGTGCCCCGGTCCGGGAGGACCCCACGTGTCGCGGAGCGGCTGGGCCCGTGAGCCATGGCCTCTGGGCCTGTGCGTCCGGAGCCTGTGCTCCGCAGCGGGAGAGGCCACAGCAGTGAGAGGCCCATGTACCGCAAAAAAAAAAAATGACTATAACTATGACTTTGATACTTGAGTTTTTACCGTTGGTATGGAATATATATAGCAGTGAATACTATTGAATAAAATAGAATAACTTTGCATTCTACTAGCTTTCTTCTAAATTAGATTCCACCCTGTTGCACTGTACAGTCCCAGGGGGAGCTTTGGATTTCTGTTGGGTTTCTGTTCTTTCTAGACTTTATGAAATTGAATTATACTTTAATATGTATTTCTTCTTCTAGGAAACAGCTAGTGTCACAGTGGATAATGTTCTTATTCCTGAACATAATGAAAAAGGTAAGAAAAACAAAACAACTTTTCTTTAAATCATGTTTTTCTTTAAGTGAATTCATGAATTCTTTTAAGTGAAATTTAGAAAGATCCAATAAACATAATAACTATTCACTAATATGCAGATTCAGGATAAATTTTTCATAGATATCAAAATATTCTCATTTTGACACATAGTTCTGATGGGTGATACATTATTGTTATATTAAAAATTCATTGGCCAGTAAAGAGCATAATTGTGGTCTCAGGAGAATTTCATGACATTTGCTATTTTTATGTGTCATAGGAAGACATTTAAAAATTACGTTGGGCTTTATACAGTTTTAGAAATTTTCATAGTACTTATAGAGAAATCTTTAGAGGTGATTGTAGAGCAGTGCTGAAGGTCACTATGAAAATCAGTTATTTTCCACACCAACTTGCCTACTTTATCAGCAGGGAGAATAATTTACTTCTATCTGGGAATCATTCTGATAAAACTTTAGTGGCTATTTAACGCTGCCTAGCCTAATCTTTGCCACTAGATCCGATGCTTCTTTGGTTCAAAAGAGAATTAGAATAGTTAGATAAGGTTGTGGTCCTTTAATGTTTAGCAAAAAAGGTTTAAATCAAACAGACTAAGTGTGTAAATATAGCCAAAATTGGTCTCTGAAGCATTTAGCCAGGCTTTTCCCTTTGAATTTGTATTTGATTACCTTTGAAATGTTTCCTCCCAATCTCTGCTTTAGATGATTTTTTAAAAAAGCTGAAGCATCTTCCTGATTTACTCTGAGCAAGTTAGTTAGCCATTTAGAGGATTTGGCTTATGAAAAACATTTCTACCAGTCATGCTTAGAGAATATTATTTAGTCATATCAAAATTTCTACTTCTATATATATATATTTTTTTTTTACTGGTTTTAGGTTCATAGTGGGTCAACAGCAATCTGTTGATCTAATGACAGGGAAACAGTCTTGGAAAAGTTTCCCCAACTAAGTTGTCTGGCTGATCTCTTTGGAAAGGTGATAGAATCACAGTACTTTTGTTTGAATATCTAAAAAGCCATTTGCTCTGTGGGATGGTGGGAGCCAGACCCAAGTAAATGTACAGAGAGCACATGGTGGGCTTCAGTTTTTGCTCCTGGGCCTTTCTCTATTGACTTTTCACTGGGCTCTGATTTGTTTCTAATAGGGAAGTCTTGGTTCTTTATAATGATGGTTGATTCTTAAAAAGAGAAAAAGTAACTTATCTTCTCCCTACTTTCCTTCCTAAGGCATATTGTTTAAATCCTCCATCAGCTTTCACAACGTCATAGAAGGAACCAAAAGTTTCCACAAAGACTTTTTAATCGGAGAAGGGGAAATTTTTGAGGTATACAGAGTGGAAATCCAAAACCGAACATATGCCATTAAATTATTTAAACAGGTATGGAAAGAATTACTATCACAGGATATCCATTCCATTTACTGGCTCATATTTCACATTAAAATGTGTCATTTTTCATCAATATTGAAAGGAGGTATACTTGAAAATAAAATTTCATAAATGGAAATAAGATATATGACCTCTGGTGACTGGAGAAATTACTGAGAAATGAATGCCTGTCTTGCAGGAATGTGGAAGTTAAATCCTTCCCCTCCCCAGATGTATGGCCTGAGAGAGACTTTTCTGAAAAGCGTTGTTAGGACCATTGGGACTTTGGTTAAGATGGTCGTCGAATTGTGCTGGTCTGCTCCAGTTTTCCTGGCTTTCTAGGATGGGCAGCGCCCTCTCCAGGCAGCTTCACAGGCTAAGCCACTGACTGATATTCGGTGCTACTTTATGAATCATCTTCAATCGCAGTTCAGGAGAGGGGGAAAGCTGGGGCTTTGGTAGGAGCAGCACGGCAATGATTGGAGCAGGAGGTTAGAATACAGCTGAGTACAGCCAGGCAAGCAGAAAGGCTATTGGGGGTCCGACTCAGGAGTCAGGAGGAGATAGGTCTGCACACGCATACCCAAAGAGCTGTTCTTCATTGTTGGTCAACAGCCAATAAACATTTACTAAACTTCTTTTATGGGCTGCGTGTTGGGTGGAGATGAACATTCTCCAAGAGTTCCCAGTCTTTTGGGGAAAACAGTTAAAGAAACGATTGAATTGCAGTGTGATAAGTACTTTAGCAGAGATTTGCCCCAGAGCACATAGAAGATAGGCAGAGGAGCGGCTGGCACACGAGTAACCACACGAGTAACCACGCAGTAAACATTTCCTCAGTAAACAAATGGAAAAGTGGATGAAAGGCAGTGACCTTTCAACTGGATTTTGAAGGATAAGGAGAATTCACCAGGCAGCGAGGGAAGTACTTTCTAGATGGAAGAGATAGCAGGTGCCCAGGCTTAGAGGCACATGCATGAAAACCTGTGTCTTACTCACGAAGACCAGCTCGCTTGGTGGAGTAGAGTTTGGTGTGAGAGGGTGGGAACGTAGTGGCATCAGATGATACTGCAAAGATAGGTGAAGTTCATGGATGGTTTCTAAGGAGGGGAGTGAAAGGACGAGATTTGTCTCTTTAAGTATCACTTTGATTACCGGTCAGATGATGGACTGGAAGTTGGCAGGGGCACTGGAGGAAAGACGGCAGGAATTAGACTGGACGTAGAAAGACCTGGCAGAGGGATATCTCAGATGTGTAAACTGAAGTGGATAGGGCTGAAACCTGTATTCTCCAGTTTAATATTAGAATCACCCAGGAAGCGTTTTAAAAACTGAGCTCTGCAGCATCTGGTTAGGTCAGAGTAGTGGTGGTGGTAGGCGTCCCCAGGTGGTTCAGATGTGTGACCAGTGTAACCGCTCTAAGCCAGGGCAGAGGCAGTGGGCATGGCAAGGGAGGGTACTGTGTCTGAAAGATGAGGTGAAATGGAGCAAATCTGGTGATGTGTTAGACAGGGCTGGGGAAATGGGGGAGAAGGAGGGATCTGAGGTGGCCCCAGTTTTGCAGCTTAGATTACAGCGCCTCTTTAAAAAAATTATTAACCCAATTTGTCCATTTCCTCAAATTGCATTTGCCCCACTAATTCTGTATAGACATCTCAAGATTCCTGAGAAGATGAACGTCTAATGAAGAAATGAAGCAATCTATTGTTATAACCATTCAACAAGAAGAATGTGGTTACTCTAGAGGTGTCCTAACTGAAGGCTGCTTCTTAGGGCCAGTGTGTCCCTGGCCCCATCTGTACATTCTCCTCTGGTTGAGCCCCAGGGCCACTTCCCCAAAGACTCTATGCGTCTACTTTCCTCTTCTCTCTGCAGCTGCCACCAACTCACACTCCCTCTTGGGAGTGTTCTTTCCAGGGGTCTGGCTTCAGAATGGGATGTCTTTGCCCTTTCTGTCCCGAAGACAATGATCATCTCCTTGATTGCTCCAGGATGGTTTTGGTGACCCTCCTCTGTACAGTCGCAGCAAAATACCACTGTCTCATAGTATTGATTTCTTCAGGATGGTTTTCTTTAAGGAGCTTTTATTTATCTTTGTATCCCAGTGCCTTATTACAGAGCCTGGCCTATAGTAGTTGCTCAGTAAATGTTTGTTGGGTGAGTTGAATGAAGCACATAGGCTGTTTTCATGAATTTAGTTGCTATTCAGTATTAGTAAAAAGGCAGGAGGTAACAAAGTTACCCAAGACCTAGAGATTGTACAAACTCCTACACACACATACACATATACATCAGGAAAAATGAGATAATTTAATGAAGCCTTAGCCACAGAGCATTTTTTACTATAAATGTAGTTTTGTAACATTGAGACCTTAATTTCAGTAACCTTTCTTAGAGGGACTGAGGCTGGGAACTGTACTTAGGTGTGTTAGATTAGTGCATCCAGCTCACCTGGGGATCTTACAGTGCAGATTCTGATTCAGCACATTTGGGTAGGGACCTGAGACTCAGCATTTCCCACCAGCTCCCAGAGAAGCTGGTATTCCTCGTGCACAGAACACACTTTGAGCAGCAAGAGTGCTAGGGTAGCATGAACACAAAAACTAACCCCTTCACTTTTTCAGATTAAGAAAACGAGGACCCCAGGGAGGTTTGGTAACAATAAGTCACAAATAATGAGTGTTAGAGGTGGGCCTGAGACCCAATCCACTTGCTCCCAGGGCAGTGGTTTTTTAAAACGTAAATTCTCATAATGTGGTCCTTGCAAATGATTTGTTAGACTAGTTTATTGTTTCTGAGTTCTTGGGTTAACTTGGAAAATAGTTTTCAAGATTCCTGTTGGATTTCCCTCCCTTTGTTCCTGAGGACAGAGAGCTCTAAAAACTCTGCCATGGGACTTCCCTGGTGGCGCAGTGGTTAGGAATCCGCCTGCCAATGCAGGGGACATGGGTTCGACCGCTGGTCCAGGAAGATCCCACATGCCGTGGAGCAACTAAGCCCGTGCTCCACAACTACTGAGCCTGCGCTCTGGAGCTTGTGCTCCGCAACAAGAGAAGCCACTGCAATGAGAAGCCCGCGCATCACAATGGAGAGTAGCCCCTGCTCGCTGCAACTAGAGAAAGCCTGCGCACAGCAACGAAGACCCAGTGCAGCCAAAAAATAAATTAAATAAATAAATAAATATTAAAAAAGAAAACAAAAACAAAAAAGAACTCTGCCCTGTCTAGCAATTTGCAAACGATAACTGGAGCACACTTACTTTAACCCTTTCATGGTAGAAGTTAGGAATTTGAGATTCAGAGACGTGCAACGATGTCAGGTGTATGAAGCCATCGAGAACAGTGGAGGTGCTCCATACAATATTATTGAATTCATTAATTTATTCATATGTCAGTCACTCTGCTAGCTTCTGAATCTTCTTTGAAGTAAGGAGTTATATGTTTCATTTTCCTAGTGGGCCCATTTTTTCAAAATTAGTACAAAGGTAAACTTGAACCAACAGCCAAATGACCCAAGTCATAAATGCCAAATTATTGAAATCAATTCTAATCAGAATACAACTATCACAACCAGGATTCTTTGAGATCAAGTGGGGAGTTTCTGTCATGGGATTTTCTTTGAATACATATTTTTGAATTCATGTAAATGTGTACAAAATATGGTGAAAGGGTTTGAATAAAAAATAGAGCAGTATGATACATTTCATGAAAAACTTCTAATTCAAAAGCAGTGGTTCTAAATCTGTTTTGGGGTTAATGGATTTTTGAAAGTCTGATGCAAGCTAAGGATCCTCTCCCCAGAAAAATGTTCATCTGCATTTATACCATAAAGTATCTAATTTCGGGGAGACTATAGACCCTAGGTAAGAATCCCAGAAATAGAGAGATCCTTTCCTTATTTTTTTTCTTCTGTTTTTTTATGATATTTAGGGGGAAAAAATGCAATGTAAGAAACAATGGAAGAGCTTTTTATCTGAGCTTGAAGTTTTACTGCTGTGAGTATATTGCTTTGGATTTCTCCACTTGTGCCTGGTTTTCATCTCTGTTCATCTTTGATTCTACAGCACAGAGCTTGGCATGGTTGGCATTTAATAAATGTGGGTTGGATGTTAGAACATTGGGTAAAATTTTGACATCTGCTTTAGTATATTCCCTGGAATACATTTTAAAATAGACCATTTCCATAATTCACTTGAACATATTTTAACAAGAAACTGTCACAGGGAAATAGGTTAAATCATGTGTGACTAACATGACTGAATGTAAACTAATTCTTAGAACTCTAGAATTGTATATATTTTACCATTGCCCCCCTTTCTTAGAGACATTCCAGTCAAGAAACTGTCTCATCAATATAAACCTCTTCTGGAAGAGAGTTTTAGGCAAAGAAATCAAGTGCTTTCGATGTGCACATTGTTTTCTGGGAATTCATTCATGAGCCTGAAAGTCCTTGGAGACAAACTAAAATGACTTCATTTTCATATATATTCATATGTGCAGCTGTGCAGCCTGTCTCACTGAAGGCCCCTAACCCTATAGAGTTCCAGTCATCACCCTTTACAAACAGAAAATGTTCTTTTCAGATGTTTTCTAAACCAATACATGAATTGCGGGGAGGGAGGTATTGTCCTAAGTCCTTCTCCGTTTATACCCAGGACCAGAAATCAAAATGTTAGAGGCTAAGTATAAACACTTAATATATCATTTAGTCAACAAAAAACTAAAACCAAAATTGTAATAAGGTTTTTATATTTAAACTTTATTTCTTTGCTTATGAATAAATAATAAGTTCAGACACTTCAAAATTCCAAAAGGGCAAAAGGGTAAGCCAAGAGATTTTCTTCCACTATTCTCATCCAGCCACCCAGGTGATTTTCCCAAAGGCAACAGAGTTATCAGTTTCCCGTATATCTCTTCAGAGATATTTTATGTGTAAGCATATATGTATTTTGTCTTCTTGCCTCTTCTCACACAAGAGGTAGCATGCATACATTGTTCACTTTGTTTATTTTACTATTCCACTGTGTGCCGTGCTGTAATGTAATTAACCGTTTTCCTACTGATGGATTTTTAGATTTTTCCTAATCTTTTACTTTAAAAAAAAATGCTACAACAAGAAACCTTTTATATATGTTATTTCAGACCTGTTGGAAAACTTTTTAATATCGCTTAGAAAACTAAGAAAGCTTCACATAAATAAAATTATAGGGTCAAATGGTTGTATGTGTTTACATGTTACCACATTGTCCTCCAGTAGAAGCTATACCAGTTTACACTTATACCAGTCATATGTTAGAGTGCCTGGTTCCCCATATTCTTGATAACATAGCGTTTATTCTTTTAGTTTTTTCTGATGTGCTAAGTGGAAATGGTTTCTCAGTGTAGTTTAAATTTCTTTTTCTATGATGAATGAATCTTTTCATATATTAAGAGATATATTTCCTTTTCCATGAAATATCTGTTAATGTTTTTTGCCCATTTTTTTATTAGGCTGTTGGGTTTTTTCTTAATGGTTTGTAAGAGCATTTTATATATTAGAGAAAATTAGCCCTATTTTTATGTTACAAGATACAAATAATTTTTTTACCACATTTTCGTTTGTCTTTGCTTATTCTAGTTTTTGCCATGTGGAAACAGTTTTCATGTAGTTGAATTTAATCTATACTTTCTCTTATGGATTCTGGGTTTTATATTATAGTTTAAAAGGCCTTCCCCACTGAGAGGTTATAAAATAATTATGCCATTTTTTCCAAGTACTTTTATATTTTCATTTTTTACATTTGTATATCTGATCCATTTGGATTTATTCTGCTGAGGCATTTATGTATTACTTTAGAGAGAATTAACAACTCTATGACGTTGAATATTCCTGGTGTGCCATCATTATCATTTATATTGCTAATATTTCTTTAGTTTTAGGCCCTATACCAAGTACTTCACATGTATTAATTCTTTAATCCTCACAACAATCCTGTGAGGTGAGTCCTGCTATTACCCTCATTTTGCAGATGAGGAAACTGAGGCAGAGTGTACTTTTTTTTTTTTTTAACAAGATCCAGTTTATTTCCTGAATCATACTCAATCTCCCTCTTCTCAGACATTTACTAGTAAATAGGTCAGAGGCAGGCTTCTCCTCTTAGAACATACTGTCTGGAGTGGGTTTAGGAGAGAAGTGCACAAGCAAACAGGCAATTTCAGTAAGTTAAATAATAAGACAAGCAAGTACAGAGCACTGAGGGAGGAGGAAATGCTGATTTGGGGAGGCGGGTGGGCGGCAGAGTAGGTGTCTTGGAAAAAGTAACATCTAAGCTGAGACCTGAGGATGAGGTTTTTTTGTTTAATATTAAAGGAACTACTTAAGGGATTGTATTATGTGTTTATGTATGTACACTTACACACACCCACACATTGCCTTTCTTGAGGAAGAAGGAATAGAGGGACTCAGAAGGGAGGTATACACACACACACACACACACACACACACATACATGCACACACACACGTGTGTTTTATAGGTAAGTTTTGCTACTGAAGAAATGTGTAATAGGATTTTTGTTGTTGTTGTTGTTGCGGTACGCGGGCCTCTCACTGCTGTGGCCTCTCCTGTTGTGGAGCACAGGCTCCGGACACAGAGGATCAGCGGCCATGGCTCACGGGCCCAGCCGCTCCGCGGCATGTGGGATCCTCCCAGACCGGAGCATGAACCCATGTCCCCTGCATCGGCAGGCGGACTCTCAACCACTGCACCACCAGGGAAGCCCTATAATAGGATTTTATATATAACACCATTTATGGAAAAATAGCTTTATTTATTTTAATATCACCAGGCATGCCTAAGACATAGGAGGTGTTCCATAAATAATTGTTGAATTGAGCTGAGTTCACAGTATGTGTGGTGAATTTCCCATGTTTTATATTTCATAGCTGTTACTGGGTTCCATTGGTTTTCACAGTGATGACACATGCCCTCAAGAAATAGAGTTTTGGGCTTCCCTGGTGGCGCAGTGATTGAGAGTCCGCCTGCCGATGCAGGGGACACGGGTTCGTGCCCCGGACCGGGGAGATCCCACATGCCGCGGAGCGGCTGGGCCCGTGAGCCATGGCCGCTGAGCCTGCGCGTCCGGAGCCTGTGCTCTGCAACAGGAGAGGCCACAACAGTGAGAGGCCCTCGTACCGCAAAAAAAAAAAAAAAAAAAAAAGAAATAGAGTTTTTTTAAAAAGGAACCTGAAAAATGTATATGATACTGACACAGAATTCTGGGATTTAAAAATCAGTGATGTGTTTTTCAACATCAAACTTTACTAGTCACATAGATTTCAGGTAACAATACAAGCTTTCTGAAGGCACTGGATGTCTCTTAACTGTGTGACTGGGGCCTAGTACAGCACTTGACATGGTAGCATTCAGTAAATAGATGAATGAAAACAGTCTTCCGAACTCTTCTATTTTGGTGACTTTAGTTACACATGTATACCTGAAGCAACGAAATGGATAATTTCAGTTGTATTGTCTTTAATAAATAAGTTATATTGGGTTTCATGTTGATAAAAATAAGTTAATATCAAATATTGTTTTCTATTTGTTGTAAAGTTCCCAAAACCCCAAATCTTAAGAACTCCTTACTTTCTTAAAATGTCTGTCTTATATTTGGATATTGGCTAATATCTGTCAGAACGCTTTAGACCAATTTGGAAGGCAAATCTGTATCATGTGTCCATTGAAATTCCTTCTCTCTTGGCCAAATTTATATTCTGCTTTATACCTATTCCCCAACCCACCCTACCATCCCCAAAACAGTGTTATTCATTTCCTATTTGAATAAACAGTTTGATGGATTTAAAAAATCTTTTGTTTCAAGGTTCCAACATCCAAACATATTGGAGTTGGCTGCATATTTTACAGAGAGTGAGAAGTTTTGCCTGGTTTATCCGTATATGAGAAATGGATCACTTTTTGACAGATTACAGTGTGTAGTAAGTTATATCTATTACTCTGCCTGATACTCTGACCCTCTAAAGCCCTGGAGCAGCTGCTGAAATACTTGAGCTATTGTGTGTTGTGCAACATGGTGGCCAGAAGAGTTGCTGGGTCCTTACTCCTCATTGATACCATGTCTCAAATGAGTTTACATCAACTACCCTTATTTCTCAGATAATTTTTATTTGCATAACTTTATGCAAAGTACCATTCAGTACAAAGGATAGACATAAAAGTGATAGACACCTTAAAGAGAAGGAACGAGGTTGAATAAATGCCATGGTTTCTCTTTTGTGATGTTTCTGAAAGATAAGTTTAAAAACTGATTCCAAATTGGTTAAATTTCAATTAAGATGAGAATAAAAACGGATTATTTTCAATTACCCACACTATTGTGCCACAATAATTTAAAAATCTTATTTAGTGAACTCTTAAACATCTTATTAGCCATATTTCAATTAAGATAACATTAAAATTATTGGGTATTTCCATTGCCTATAAAGGGGCCTAGAACCAGCGTTGGTAGTAGAAGAAAACCTATTTTGAATTAAAAATAGGTTATGGTAAACTACAATGTTCATTTACCCCCTCTCGCCACCTCCTCATTAGCGTGTATTGGTTTTTACTCAGAAAATACAACCAAACCAACTACTGTTGTCTTTTCAGGGTGACACAGCCCCACTCTCTTGGCACCTTCGAATCAGTATATTAATAGGAACAACCAAAGCCGTTCAGTACTTGCACAGCACGGAACCGTGCTCCGTCATCTGTGGCAGTATATCAAGGTAAATTATCCCAGAGCTGTAGGTTATAGCTGAAGGCCCCTTTCATCATCATGGATGAGTCGGACTTCACCCTATTTTCTGTCTGTAGTTTCCCTGGTGTGTCTGTGTACGTGTTAAGAAATCTCATTGAAGTATTTAAAATCTTACCTTTTTAGGTAAATTTGGTAGACCAAATTTTCCCAAATTTTAAAGGCTGCACTTATATTGCCCATCGGAGAGTTTGTATTATCTTTGGGAATTATTAATGAACAGTGTAGGATAGACAGTTTTGTGTATTTTACTAATTATACCGCACAGCAAACTGTGAAATGAACCTGTATTCATCTCACTTAAAAAAAAAAAAGAAACTGAGGTCTCAGGAAAGGTTAAGTGGCTTATACAAGGACTCCTCACAAGATAACAGTAGTGATGGGCAATTTAAATTCTTCCTCCTTGAGTCTCCAGCCTCCTGCCAATGCCACTGAGCCCGCTGCCTCCTAGCTGTAGGTACTCACCTGTGACAAGCTGAGCGGCAATCCCAGTGTTCATTTTTGAGACACGTGAGAAAATTAGAAGCAACATCTTCCGTCTTTTTTCTTCTTCAGCAGACGTAAAGAATCATTAGACAAAGAGTGTACCCTGTAGCAAACCCCCCCACCCCACCCTGCTGTGCATTTTTCCTGTGTGCCCTTCATCATGAACCTGTCTCAAAGTAGGTAAATACATCTTTGCTGAATAGCAGGGGAGACTGAATTTAAAAGGCTCTGCCTCTTGTGAACCGTCACCTAGTATCTTGGGGAAAGCTTTAAGTGCGCCTTCAAGTTGAACCCAAGAGGAACTGATTGCTTACTTTGCTTTTCTGGTGAAGTGAATTTCGTATAAAAAGACTCTAGATTTTGTTTTGTCCTGGGGGAGTGGTGGGGTTAGGGTGGAGGGGACACAACCCGTAGGCATCTTCTCCTGTTGCAGTGTGGCAGTTCATCAACTGCCAGTGGAATCAGCGTAAAATTTGTGCGCCCTCACGGGCCCTGGGTCAGAGACGGACAGTGAAAGTCTCAGCAATCGGTGAAACCAACCACTAGGTTCCACCTAGTGGAACCTCCCTCTTCCACTCAGCTCTCAGCCAGCTCAGCACTGTAGGTGCTTAAATATGTGTTCTAACTGGGTAGATAGATAAATAAATACCTGGAATTTTGCTGTACATATTCTTTCTTTGGTTTAAAGTGGCTTGAACTTTTTTTTATTTTTATTTTTATTTTTTGGTACGCGGGCCTCTCTCTGTTGCGGCCTCTCCTGTTGTGGAGCACAGGCTTCGGACGCGCAGGCTCAGCGGCCATGGCTCACGGGCCTAGCTGCTCCACGGCATGTGGGATCTTCCTGGACCGGGGCGCGAACCCGTGTCCCCCGCATCGGCAGGCGGACTCTCAACCACTGCGCCACCAGGGAAGCCCTGAACTTATTTTTAATCCCATGAAGTAATCCATTAATTTTAAACATTTTCCTTTTGTGTGACTGATTCATTACCTCCTTTCCTGAAAGCAGAGCTTGATAGGAAAGAGGGATGAGAAGGGAGACAGTGTGGAGGTCCTGGTACTTGATGGGAGAGGGGGACAGGGAAGGCCACCGACCACCGACCTGAGTCACAAGGCTTTCCCACAGCTGACACTGGGCAGGGAGATTTGCCTGTGCCCCTCCAACATGCCTCTCCTGCTTTCAGGTCAGAGCACAGGCTGTGACCCTGATTTCTGCTTTCTCATGATTGGCAAGTGTCTTCAGGCAAGTTCCCGGGAAGTAGGCTCAGAGGCAGAGGTTTGCCTGCAGGGGAATTTTTTGAGAATGCTCTCGGGAATAACAAAAGTAAGGGAAGGAGGAGGAAGACAGAATTGGCCAGTTGGAGAAGCTGAGCTGGGATATGGAAGTAGAGGCCTCAGCAGATGCCATGGGGGCTGCTGAAGTTGGGGTGGCCCTTAGAAACTGTCCCCAAATGAGGCAAGGTGCTTGGGTTTTGGCATCCCTGCATCCAGCCAGCCCTGAGTGGGGCTGTGTTGGGGTGAGGCAGCTCCTTTCTCCCACTAGCAATTCCCAGGTTGGGGCTCAGCTGGGAGCCCTCAGCAGCCACGCCTCCCTGTTGGGGACCGAGTGCCTCCCTGGATCGGGAAGAAAGGATGGGGCCACACCACTGCAGCCGCCACAGTTAGGGAGGAAGTCGGCTGCATGGCACTCTGCAAAATGTGACCAAATGATTTTCTTTTTCTTGTACTTTCCTCCCCACCTTCTTGCCATCCTGTCCTCTTAGTTCAGTATCCACAATTGTTTAAATCAGAGAGATCTGGTTTAAGAGGCTGGCTTTAAAATGCGATTCTGAGCCAACTGCTTGACTCCTCTATGCCTCAGGTTTTTTCCTCTGCAGAGTGCTAATAAGAGAATAATAGCTTCTACCTCTTAGGATTAAATGGCAGAAGGTCTATCGGGGGCTTGGCAAAGAGGATGCACTCACTAAATTGTGGCTCCTGTTATAATGGTCAAGAAGTGGCAGGAGTAGCAGAGGCGGAGGCTAAGAGATATTCTGGCCAGTCAGCCTTTTTACTTATCACCCTTTTACTTATTGTCTTAGTCCGTTTGGGCTGCTCTAACAGAAATACTGTAAATTGAGTGGCTTATAAACAGTACATGTTTATTACTCATAGTTCTGGAGGCTGGGAACTCCAAGATCACGGCCCTGGCCGATTCTGTGTCCCGTGAGAGCTCACAGGTGGCCGTCTTTTCTCTGGTGGAAGGTGTGAGGGGTCTCTCTGGAGTCTCTTTTATGAGGGCACTAATCCCATTCATGAGGGGAGCTGTTATGACCTAATCACCTCCCAAAGGCCCCACCTCCTAATACCGTCACATTGAGGGTTGGGATTTCAACATAGGAATTTAGGGGGACACAAATATTCTGTCCATAGCCCTTACCTCTATCATCAATTTATTGTGTTTGAAAAGTGGACCTACAAACTAAGTTCTCTTTTCATAGAAATCATTTCTGTGTTAGCACATGTTTATTGAACATTTTGCAAATCACGTTCATTTTAGTTCACAAATATTTATGGAACATCTGCTGTGTGCAGAGCATTGTCTTAGACCACAGTGGGGGGAAGACATTGACGATCATAGTCTTGATCTTGAAGCTTCAACCTGGTGATCAGATCGATAGTGAAAACACAGAAGATATATAGTGTGACACTAGGTATGCCTAATGTGTGGTTGGTCTGAGAAGGCTAATTCTAATTAGGTAGTTCCAAGCCAAATCTTTGAGGAGACGGTCATTGTCAGTGGATTGGTTGAAAGAAGGGAAGAGAATATTCCTGGTGGAGGCATAATTTATTCAAGGGAACAGAGTAAAGAAATGCTGGGTGTATAATGAAATCAAGACAAGTTAGTTGAGGGACTTCCCTGGTGGTCCAGTGGCCAAGACTCCGCACTCCCAATGCAGGGGACCTGGGTTTGATCCCTGGTCAGGGAACTAGATCCCACGTGCCACAACTAAAGATCCCGCATGCCGCAGCTAAGACCCGGCACAGCCAAATAAATAAATAAATAAACACTTAAAAAAAAAAAAAGACAAGTTGGTTGATTGGAGAGGAAAGGATGAGATTGGAGAATAATGAAAGATAAGACTGGAGAAAAATAAGGAAAATTGTGGGGAGAGGGTTGGATGGAGCTTTGAACACTTCCTAGGCTGAGGACCTGGGCTTGATAAGCTAGGCTCTTACAAGGGACTCTGAGGCTTCTTCTCTCTGGGGTATAGGTGGGAACAGAAAGGTTCTGAAGTCTCTTAGGTGGTCTCACCATTTAAAAGGAGGCTATTTCTTTCAGGCCAGTATCCCAGGTATTTGTCTGGATGTGCTGAGCTATAAAATCACTTAAATAACACAGAGTGCTCAACAGGTAATATTGATACGAGTAGCAAAAGAGATCTGATCAGAGAAAGGTAGAATTTCATGGAAGAGGCAGGATTGAGCTGGAAGTGAAGCTAGCAGTGTATTTTATTTTATTTTTTGTTGGTGAAGGGGCTGCTGCTGACTGTTGCCTTTCTGGGGGTTCAAGGGCTCAAACATAACCATCTATAGATTACACCCACCCAGTCATGTGTCAAGGTGTGGAATTCTGGGGCTCTGGGCATTGATTTGAGAATTGTGGTTTCACAAGGGTTCATCAGTGTGTCCCCATCTGTTCCAGAGCAAATCAGCCCCCTCCACAGCCACTGAACTCAGCCTTTCTGCTGAGCCTGCCAGCAAAGGTGTTAATTAGTGCCAACTATAACAGTAGACTTTCCCCCGTTCCTTTGGTGACGTGCACACCTGTTCTCTAGAAACTGGAATGAGAACAGCTCATTTCATTCAGGGCACTGAACATCTGTCAGATGGTAATGACATTCAGTCCCCTGCAGTCTTGACCAAACGTGAATTGGCTGACCTAGATCACCCTCCTGAATCTCTTTTAAATGAATCCTTTACTCCATTCTAAACTTGGGCCTCCCCGATTCTTAGTCCCACTGTGTACAGCCTTGTGCTTTCAGGGACATCTGAAATCCCTACTATTCGGCCTTTGTCATATTAATTTTCTAATTCTTTGCGAGGAAAGGCAGCTTCTTGAAGAGATGTCATTTTATGGCACAGCCCTGGTAATTGGCTCAAAAAAGGACATCTCAGTATGTGTTAAAACAGTGACCTTTTCTGTGAGTAAGTCAGGGCTCTGTTTTTGTTGAAGTGAGAAGTGGAAAACCTTTCTTTTCTGCACTTGGGCCTCAGACTGATGAATCACCGAAGAGTCATCATACATCATTTGACATTATTAAATATTGTTTTTAATAGTATGAAATAACGTACAGTGTACATAAAGTGACAGTGCAAAAAGCCAAATTGAAATAGTAAGCAGTACACAATTATAACCTTGTAGAACTACAACTTCAGGAATTTTAAAAAAAAAGATTAAAAATGGAGCATACCAAAATATCAATAAGGCTTTAATTAGATGGAGAG